TAAATAAAATTCTTACCTTTAAAGAGGCGTTGAACCTGTATTATATCAGAAAAATTAGAATGCGATGAAACCATTTAGAAAACTTCCAAGTACATGTCTATTCAAATGTTCCAGAAACTATTTGTCTGAACCCATACTATACCAAAAAAAGTAGAAAGTGATGAAACATGTAGAAAAATTCCAAGTCCATTTATCACTTTTTAAGGGAAGAATGCAGCGACACTGTTACTCTCTTGACAAGAAAATCTCTGCTCTTGTTTCAGAGTATGTCCTCACCAAATAAAAGTAATGAATTTGTCGTCCACTCATGTCTTTGTTATTACTTTTCAGAAGACGCTTCTAGAGGCAGACTTACTTTTTCAGACAATTTGCTGTTTCTGGGAATTTTGTTTCCGCCCAGATTAAGTTGAACTGAAGTTTGTGTTTTTTTTGTCAAGCAAGAAGTGTTGTTAGCAGTGTTAGGTCCATGGCATCTTGAGCAATATGCTTGGTCTCTTTTATGGCACTGTCTCACGGAGACAGACAGGCAGAAATGGTCTGATTCATCAATGTCATGCTCATAACTGTGCCTGAACTACATCAGGGAACTGCTGCTTTTTCTTTCCTAATCCTTACTGTCATCATTTTCCTCTACTTCTATGGTATGTTTGTCACTCTCTTGTGACTCGCTATTTCCGGGTTGCCTTGAGATTTGAAGCAGACCTTGTGCTGTTGAAGCTAGAGAGGTGAGCAGAGTAAGTCTGATTCCCTGTAAGGACTTCTCTTTTGACACCCACCCCTTGGCACTCATATGACGTTATGCACTTGCGAGCGCCGTAAAACTTCTACTAAAACTGAAACTAAAGAGACAGGCAGAGTAAATAAATGTTTTGTTTGTGTGAAACAGAAGTGGAAAGACAAGGTGTTTTTGAGAAATTTTTAGAACGAGTTTGGCTGTTCCAGCAGGCATTTGTGGCACTGTTGGTTTTTACTCAAACGTATATAACATGTATGTGTTCCAGGAATGTTTCCCGTCCTACCATACTTCCCCTCCTCCTTTTCCAACGTAAACCACATTATGCCAAGTGTGATATATTATGTTGTCTGTTATTTTTTCTTCATTCAGGGATTGGATATAATCAAGGGTGCACAACAGGAACAGTTGGCAGTTGTGCTGAAGATCTCCAGTGTATTGGCTCTGTTTGCAAATGCCAGGACACCCAATATCACAGTGGCAGCAACCAGTGTTCTCCCAGTAAGTAGAGATGTGTAAGGGCTTGGTTTTCCCTTGAACTAAAAATAGATTTGTATCACGACGTTGTAGAATCAGGCCCTCGTCAATTTTTGGGCATGTAGAGTTATTGGTATCATCTTCAAGCTTGTTCATTTACCTTAAATACAAGTTGATATATTTGCGAATGAAGGAGGTGAGGGTCACCTGGTTTCAAGGTAAAATCAGTGAGAAAATGGCCGCCAAAGATTAGTTATTTCCTTAGCTTAAGTGTCTGTGGTAACCGAAAATTTCCTTTTTTGTGTCTTTAATCAACGTTTTTCAGTAGAATCCACACAGAAATGTGTTTTTTAATGGACATGAAAGGTGTTGAGCCAAAACACAAAAATTCAACGAAGATTCATCTGTTGAAAAATGCCTGTTTCTTCACTTTGATTATTTTGACGAGAGCCAGATTCCACACTGCTGCCTCACATTTGTTTATGTCAGTGTCTGCTGTTTCAGTGTTTGATTTCTGTAAGAAAACAGGTCGGGATGGGGGGGGGGGGGGGGGGGGGGGGGGGGGAGATTATCCTTGTCATATTAACTTTTCTCTGTAACTATTTGGTGTTTCGTATTTCTGTACAAGGTCTGGCTCTTGAATGTATTTCAAACTCTGTAACTGTATGTCAATTATACTTTGCTTTCTGTACTCTGGTTGTTGAAACTTGAGTGAGCTCTTTGTCAGGTTTGTTGAAATGACCTCTGTGTGTGTGTGTGTGTGTGTGTGAGAGAGAGAGAGAGAGAGAGAGAGAGTGTGTGTACATGCGTGTGTGCTTGCGTCTGCGCGCATGTGATTAGGAGGAGGAACAGGAGAAGAACACCAAAATAAAGATGAAAGATCTTGTAATGGGGAGAGGTTATATACAGTATAAACCTGATATAACAGGGATGGTGGGACCAGAGAAAAAGTCCTGTTATATCCGATCCCTGTTGAATCAGAAATGCAAGGAAAGTAAGCATTAATTGTGGACTAATCCAGCTGTATTTATTCATGGGTAGTATCCCTTGCCACTAGTACCCACGAACAGGGGTTTTGGCAGGCCTGCCCATGACACCATGACACATTACGCGTGCGTGTAGCTTGGCTAAAGACTAAATGACCGAAGTCTGCAGCACACTGCAGCCTTCTCTTGCTTCAGATGCGTGTGCTTGCAGCAGTAGCGTGGCTTTCGTGGGCTTGTTCTATCACCGCGTTACTCTCTCTCTCTCTCTCTCTCTCTCTCTCTCTCTCTCTCTCTCTCTCTCTCTCTCCCTCTCTCTCTCTCTCTCTCTCTCTCTCTCTCTCTCTCTCTCTCTCTCTCTCTCTCTCTCTCCACATTGTTAACGAGCCTTTGTCCCTGCTATAACCGGTTGGGCTCTGATTTTGCCCTGTTTTTGCGGATAATTTTTTATAGAGGCAACGAGTAGGAAAAAACGGGGGTTTTAAAAATCCCTGTTATTACCGGGTCCCGGTTATTACCGGGCCTGTTATATATGGTTTCCAATGTAACGAAAACATTGAGGAAGAAGGAAAAAGAGCATGAGGCGCTCTCTCAAAGTTCCAATAGGAGACTGAGTGACTTGTTCTAGTACATAATATGTTCTATATATAGTAGAGAAAGTAGTTGAACCTACAGGAGCTCAGTTTCCCTAAAGAAGAAAACTGAGAGAAAAAGTGGGGGGAAAAGAGTACACATGAGTCAAGTAGAGGACAAAGGATGTGTTTGGGTGGCGTCGGTGGTCCAGAAGTTAGACTCTCGGACTCACAGCCGTCAGGTCGTGGGTTCGAATCCTGCCAGAGTCAGAGGCCTGATGGAAAGTCAATACACGAATGTTTTTTACTCCACCCAGGTGGGAATGGGTACCCGGCTATAGACAAGAAAAAAAATGTTCTCAGTTTGTCATTGTTTGAGCAGTTAATCAGCTGTTTGTACTGTGTTCTTCCCGGGAAGCTGAGAATGTTTCTTGGTATTCAAAGGTCTGCTGGAGGTAATAATAATTTAATGTAAAACGCACTGAGGTTGCTGTCGATTTGGGATGTGCATTATATAAATGCTATTTATCATTACTATAGCTATATATAAAACAGGGGGTGAGAAGATATCAAGGAAAGGAGTATAAATAAAGAAGGGGTAGAAAGGGCCCAGCTGTGCAAAACTGCTCGTCTTTTTAAAGTTTGGGAAATAGTGAACAGGTATTCTATTTTCGGACTAATACGATATACAAACGATGATTACAATTACAATTTATAGTATTTTCCCAAAAGAATGAGACTGGTTAGTCTATGTGACAAATTCACAGATTATGTCAAGGGTGTATATCGTCCCTGTTTTGTTCTCCTCCAGAAATTGGCTATAATGGACAGTGTACGTTGGGTCCTCAAGGGTCTGAAAACCCATGTGCTGGAGATCTTTCTTGTGTGAACTTTGTGTGCAAGTGTTCTGACACGGAGTACCACTCTGGCAACAACCTGTGTGCCACAAGTAAGTAGAGTGGGGGGGGGGGGGGTTTTCTCTGTGTTTAGAATGTTGACCTTCAGGGCTTTTTTAATGTCAATGTCTGGATGTACAAACTGTTGCTCACAACTCATTTCATATGAACCCATTCACTTGTGTTTTTTTAAATTTCCGAATTTAAAAAACAAACAATCTTTGACTTTTTACGACAAGAACTGCTGCGTCACAGGAGTCTCCCAGATTCTTCAATTTCCTGACGTCAGTTGTTTTACTTTGTTCTCCATCAGTTGTTTTACTTTGTTCTACATCAGTTGTTTTACTTTGTTCTACATCAGCTGTTTTACTTTGTTCCCACACTACACAGTTCTACATCAGGGTTCTTGTAGGGTAGAGTCCGGCCGTGGATGACCCAGTTTGATGGAAGTCCAGAAGTAGGTCACACTTTACAAACAGCGCTCGTCGTGGGCAGTATTGCATACAGACGTATCTCAGAGGCCGCCAAAAATGACTTACGTCTTGTTTTTTTGTTTTTTTAGGGGTTTTTTTGTAAAGTGTTTTACGGCGCTCGCAACTGCATAAGGTCATATGAGCGCGTGGGACACACCTAATATTTTCAGTTGGTAGGAAATTTTGAATTTTGCCTGAGTGGCAGCCGAAGCCTACTCTTATCGATTTTAGACCACCAAGGGATCTTCAACATGCGCAACTTGCACACAGGCCCTCCGAGATTTTTCGCCCTTGTCCAAGAAGGCTAGGTGTAGCTCTTTCCCACCAGAAATCAGGGGTGTATCAGAAAGACAGCAGTAAGGAGGTGCAAAGGAGTAGCAGTAGAAAGGCTGCGGAAAGAGTCAGGAGCCCAGAGGAGGAGGCAAAGGAGGTGAGGGGGTGGGGGCAGAAAGTGGAAATGGAAGCAGCCAACAGAACATTGCTAGAGAGCAGGAAAGGAGGTGAAAGGAGACAATTTTAGAGAAAAAAATTTTTCGGTCGCTACCCGGATTCGAACCCGTTTGCAATACTGCTCGCTTCCTGTGTTGTGGGATTCCTGTCGAATGATGGGGAGGGTTAGGAGAAGGAGCAGAAGTAGAAGAAGAAAAAATAAAAGGAAAAATACTGGAAGGGGGAAGGGTTATTTAACCCTGTCCGTACGCCCTGGGGTCATTTTGTACCCTCGAGTTTGTATTCTTTACATTTTAGAATACTACTAGTACCAAGATCTCTTTGAAACCTTCAGTATTTCTCAAAAAATCAATGTGATAGACTGGTATACAAAGCATTTGGATCGGATTAACGAGTAAATGTCCTTTTTTGAAAGTGGTGGCACAGAGTTTCCCATGTCGTATGGATACGATAGATCTAGTAAAACACGACGTATGGATAGGGTTAAAGTGTGTAACTTGAAAACGGAGGGAGGGAGGTAGGGAGGGAGGGAAAAAAAGAGTAAGAGACTCCCAGTCGAGTGACTGATATAAATGAAAAAAAAAAAGTTATTAAACCGACTTGAGCTCAATTTCAAGAAAGAAACAACAACAAAAAAGAGAAAAAAATGTAGATCCCCGCGAGCCAGATGAAGGACAAAAGGTGAGTAGGTGTGAATAAAACTGGTTTTGACATTATGGTCCGTTTTCACTTTTTATTCATATGTAGAGGAATATGGAGGATGTAAGGTTTGGAAGAACAAGGAGTGAGGTGATATTAAGTAAAAGATTTGTGAGGACAAGATAGGGCAGAAATGTGAAGACTGCTTGTATATTTGTAGTTTGGAAAAGGGAGAGGGTTTTATTCTTCTTCTTTTTTGTGGGACAATACTGGTATGTACAAAAGAATGAACACTGCTGGTATTATTTCTTCCAAGGAATGTGACTGGTTAGTCTATTTGACAAATTCACAGTAGTAATTAATAAATGTTGGAGTTAGTTGAACTGTTCATGTAGGTAGAATAATCCTGATTGATTGTGTATGGTTCCTGTAACCCATTTTTGTCTAGTGTATGTATAATCTTTCTATGCTTATATACTGTATTTTTTATTTTGTCCCCCACCCCCACCTTTTCCCCCTGCTCCAGAAATTGACCATGGAGATGTCTGTTTCAATGGAAATAACGAGAGTTGTAAAGGAGATCTTGAGTGTGTGACCTCTGGTGTAGAATATCAGTGTGTGTGTCCTGCTGGGAAGTACCATTTTGAAAACAATCAGTGTAGGGACAGTAAATATGACTATCTAAGATTTCATTTCATTTAGTGGTCTTTGTGTTGTATGTGTTATCTTCAGTTCCGGGAAAGTAATGCTAGCTGTCAGAGAGATTTGGATGGACCTGATTAACTTCCATGCCCCATAGTTCTACACCAGGGTTCTATTAGTTTTGAGGGCATCGGGTATATTAGCCAAGGTTAGTCCCCCTCCATCTCCATCCCCTCCTTCTTCCCCCCCCCCCTCTAAGGATGTTACTAAGGCTGATTAAACCGAGTTGCAAAAGTTCAGTCACACCCATTATACCCAAGACGGAATAAGACAAGACGGGACAACTCTTCTTCACGTCATGTGACAAGCCCAGGCCCCTCCCACTTTTGCTGCTGCGCGTAAAACTCGCTGGACTGGCGATAATTTACAGTGGTTACAATGCAAGGCTACTTATAACTGATCATCTCGGGCGGTATGTCTAGCCAAGGCCTACTAAAATTAATATATTTTAGCCCAGAGAGAGAGAGAGAGAGAGAGAAAGAGAGAGAGAGAGAGAGAGAGAGAGAGAGAGAGAGAGAGAGAGAGAGAGAGTATTTAATGAATAAACGTAGCCTATCTAGATTTGGATCTAGATCTAGAATCTAGGATCTAGAATATAGAATCTAGATCTAGAGAGTCTAGGTTTTGTTATGCTCCCAGCCAAGAGTGTGCAGTTCGGAATGTAGATCTAGATCTAGGCCCCTAAGTGGTTGGCGAATGACCGAAGGGCGACTCTTGTCTGTAAATTGGCGGAGACATTCTAGATCTATATCATGCAACTTGGCTCATACTATCATATCAATTAAATAGTAGATAGATCTACTTAAGCTTCGATTTTGTGCTTGTTTCAATGGTTTCTTTTTCGGTGCACATGTACAATTGTGGTCACGTTGAATGTCTCCATGCCGGCCATTATTGTCATGGGGGAGTGAATCTAGATCTAGATCGAGATCTATATCTCTAGATTCTATCTAGATCTAGACAGCCAAGATAGTCTATTTCTAGATCTATATAGCTAGATCTATCTAGATCTAGATAGCCAAGATAATCTATTTCTAGATCTAGATCGCTAGATAGATCTTGATTAGATCTATAATTTTAATTCAGTTTAGATCTAGATCTAGATTCTAGATCTACATTCTAGATATCTATAATCTAGACCTAGACCTAAATCTAAATAAAAAACACGTAAAAATTACTAGAGGGGCACGTAGGCCTTGAGTGATTTAGTGCAAACGGGACCGCTATTGTACAGGAGTGCCATTGTTTCCTATTATAGCTTCAGTTCATGATAATTGATTCTGATATTGGGGAACAGCTCGCTGTGTAGTTAATCTAGATCTAGATCTAGAACTTGTCTACAGTTAGGCTGCTGGACTCTAGCAGCGGCCGTATCTTAAGTTTTAAAAATATCCAATCTATTGTATATTCTGTTTGACAACAGTTCCTTGCAGAGCACCACTGGCTGTTCTGTGGTTTTTAAACTGTAAGATCTAGTCTACTTCTACGTTTCGTAAACTTCTAGATCTACATCATCATGTTCAACCCACTACCGTTCATAAAAACCTTAAATTTCTCAACTCACTATATTCAAAATGTGAACAAAAACCAGTCAAAATAAATACCCATCAGTTTATATGGAAAAAAAAAACAACCCAAGGCAAAACTGCCATTATGAAATTCAAAGTAGGCAGCTATTTCAGCGAGTTGAACAGTGTGCTCTTTCTTCCTGTCTTTTGTTTACGCTTTAAACGCGCAGCTAGCTGGGTACCAAGGAGAGCCAGTTGGAACGAAAATGAGGCTGTTGTCCCGTCTTGTCTTATTCCGTCTTGGATTATACCAAAGAGTCTACATAACAAGAGGGGCCACTTCTCTCTTTGAGCCAATTAAAAAAGTGTCCTCAAAATTCGGTGGCGCCCTCTTCACAAAAGCGCACCTTTTGCGAACAGAGTTACCCTACTTGAGTTTAAAAAATCAAAGTGAAACTAGCAAGTTTTTGAATAAATTTCGGAAGAAAGCTTTTTTAAAACGGTTACGCTGACAAAAAAAACTCTTCCGGAGGAAAGAGTGATTGTTTTTTTCGTTTAATTTGACTTTAGAATGAAAGGCGAGAGGTCATTAAAATTTAAAAAAAATAAAACTCCACACTGAACGAACCCGAACTGCTGATGAACAGCAGTCGTTCTGCATACGCAAGGAGGTGCTATTCCTATTCTTCTTCTGGAAAAACGAAAGAGAGCTTCAAAACAGACTGCAGCGCCATCTGAAGCAAAGAGCATACTTCCTGCGGACACTTTTTTGGCTGAGTGGCCTATCTTGTTATTTACTATCTTTGATTATACTACGATGATTTTCTCTACAGATTAAGAATTGTAGCAAAAATGAAAAAGTATGACTTGTGTGACTTATGAAATATATGAGACTCCACCTGCATGAGCAGACGAAAGAAATCATAAACCGGAAGTAGTACGTCAGCAAAGTGTTGGTTTTGATTTCTCAAGGCGTACGTTGAAATCAATGCATCCTACACACAAAATTTGCGTTAAATCACGCCGACAGTGTGTAAACACACCTTACACATTATACACACTATAAAATCCCGTGATTTTTAACTGTTGGTTCATTTGTTCTCCTGTTTCCAAAATAACAAAACGGACAAATGCAGAAAATGAAGACGCTGTGTTTGGGATAAATTCTTCAGTTGCGCTTTCCTTTGTTTCAAGACACGTAAATGTGTGCAGCACGACCATTTAAAGCTTGAACAAACGTTTTAACATCACTAGAACTGTCTTAGACAAGCGTAGACGTGGCCGACCAAGGGCGACAACTCAGTGTCAGATGTGGGTTATTGTCAAAACCCATGTTCGAAACCCGTTCCAACCTAGTGCATAGACTACCAGGTACATCGGACTGTCTTTAAAACCCCAATGTTAGACATTTATATGATCGTGGATTACGTGATTATCGCCCTTTATGTGGAGCGATTCAAACCCTTTTTCATCGAACAAATCGCCAAAAGTGGGCACAATAACATCGTCAAGGACATTGGTAAAGTGTTCCATTCAGCAATGGTTCAGGTTTTTAATTCGCCCCATTGATGGAAGAGAAAAAGTGTTGAAAAGAAGAGGATAGAGATTTCCCAAAGGCAACGTCCCCAGAGTGGACTGATCAGGTGCCTGCAATGTGATGGTGTGGGGATGAATGGGGTAAATAGTCTGCACTTTATCGTACACATTTGGTCATTTTTCAAAGCAAAATCAAAGGACGACGGTATCGTGACGAAATTCATCGCCATGTTGACTGCCCAATATTGCACGATTTATGGAATGTGTTAACAAGACAACGCCCGACCCCACGCGGCCACGATTAGCCGAAACTCCTTCTAAACTCATCAAATCGTTGTTCTGGACTGGCCTGCAAGACCAACAAGCCTTAACCCAAGAGAACATGTAAGATGACCTTGACTATAAGATTAGAAACAGGCTGCACTCTGTACAAACCTGGCAGGAACTGAAGGGTGCGCTTCACAAGGAATGGCAGGGGATTCCTCAGGTAACCATAAGGGCATTAATTCAGTCAATGAACAGACATTTTGTATCAGTAAATCAAGCTGGAAGAGGCCACACACAATACCTTTGATTTGGATCTTGCCAGGGTCAGTGTGTATAAAATTATCGCCCTTGCGTAAGGAATAAGCTTGGTCAATCCTTTTCATATCATGTTGCCAGAAAATGAACAAAGATCTTGTGCACCAAATTTCTCATGGCTATGGTTAATAGTAAATTCAATGAGTTATTGTACTTTTAAAGTGGGTGTGAAAGAACGTTTGCAACACGGTATATTTGTCTTGGGATGTGCGCTTTAATTACAAGGTTGTACTTGTAGAAGCATTGCATATATTTCTGTCAGTAACTGAGACATAATCAGCTGTACAGGTAAACCTATATAGTGTGATACCAGAGTCTCTCCAAAAGCCCAACTGCCCTATTGTGAGACTTGACTTTTTTCTCAAGTCCCCCCCATAAAGTCAACCCCCAAAACATGAAACAAAAAACAAACAAAGCAACAAAAACCACACACACCACACACACACACACACACACACACACACACACACACACACACACACACAGACTAACTCACACACACACACACACACACACACACACACACATACACAGAGCGCACGCACGCACACACATATACACACACATACACACACACGCACACGCACACACACATACACACATATACACACACACATACACACACATGCATACACACGCACGCACAGAGCGTGCGCGAGCGCGTGCACGCACGCACGCAAGCAAGCACGCATGCACACACACACTGTGAATGGTGAATGTAACATTTTTTGTCTAGTGTGTGTATAATCTTTCTATTTGTATATACCGTATTTTTGGTTTTGTCCCACACCCAAACCATTTCACCCTGCTCCAGAAATCGACTATGGAGGTGGCTGTGCCGTTTCAGACAGTTGTAATGGAAATCTTCAGTGTGTGTCCTCTGTTGGAGTAAATTAGTGTCTGTGTCTTACTAACCAGTTCCATATTGGCAGCAATCAGTGTAGAGACAGTAAGAATGACTACGATTTCCTTCGGTGTAGTGGTCTTTGTGTTGTATGTGTCATCTTCAGTACTAGAAAAGTAATGTTAGCTTTAAGACAGACCTTATGGACCTGATTAACTTCCATGCCACATAGTTCTACGTCAGATTTCTATTAGTTTTAAGGACATCAGGTAGATAAGCCAAGGTATGTCAGCTGTAGAGTTCTGTAACACTTCATCCCCTCCCCCCCCTGATGATGTTGCTACTGATTAGACCTATCACTTATTTGTCTTGGGACGTGCACTTTAATTACAAGGTTGTAGAAGTATTGTATATATTTCTGTCAGTAAATAAGACATAAGCTGTACAGGTAAACCAAATAGTGTGATACCAGGGTTTCTCCAAGAGCCCCACTGCCCTATTGTGAGACTTGACTTATTTCTCTAGGCACAAACAGTGACAGTGATACTGTGTCTTTCTTCTCCTGCATACAGAAGTACAGGTGTAAGACAGATCTGTGAGTCATTACAGAATTTACGATAGTGTTTTTTTGGCTCATTCATTATTTGAGAATTATGTCCCTCCCCATAAAGTCAACCCCCCAAAATCAAACAAACAACAAACAAAACAACAAAAATAACACACACATACACACACACACACACACACACACACACACATACACACACACAGAGCGCACGCACGCACGCACGCACACACACACACGCGCACACACACAGACAAACAAACACACACACACAAACACACACACACACACACACACACACACACACACAGAGCGTTCGCTCGCACATACACTGTGGATGGTGACTGTAACATTTTTTTGTCTAGTGAATGTATAATCTTTCTATTCGTATATACTATATTTTTATTGTGACCCCCACCCCCACCATTTCACCCTGCTCCAGAAATCGACTATGGAGGTGGCTGTGCCGTTTCAGACAGTTGTAATGGAAATCTTCAGTGTGTGTCCTCTGTTGGAGTAAATCAGTGTCTGTGTCTTACTAACCAGTTACATATTGGCAGCAATCAGTGTAGGGACAGTAAGTATGACTACGATTTCATTCGGTGTAGTGGTCTTTGTGTTGTATGTGTCATCTTCAGTACTAGAAAAGTAATGTTAGCTTTAAGACAGACCTTATGGACCTGATTAACTTCCCTGCCACATAGTTCTACGTCAGATTTCTATTAGTTTTAAGGACATCAGGTAGATAAGCCAAGGTATGTCAGCTGTAGAGTTCTGTAACACTTCATCCCCTCCCCCTCCCCCCCTGATGATGTTGCTACTGATTAGACCTATCACTTATTTGTCTTGGGACGTGCGCTTTAATTACAAGGTTGTAGAAGTATTGTATATATTTCTGTCAGTAAATAAGACATAAGCTGTACAGGTAAACCAAATAGTGTGATACCAGAGTTTCTCCAAGAGCCCCACTGCCCTATTGTGAGACTTGACTTATTTCTCTAGGCACAAACAGTGACAGTGATACTGTGTCTTTCTTCTCCTGCATACAGAAGTACAGGTGTAAGACAGATCTGTGAGTCATTACAGAATTTACGATAGTGTTTTTT